GTCCAAAATAAAGTTTGTATTGTACTACAGAAATGCCAACTTCCTGATGATTTTTTATATATACTTTTACATTTCCTACTTTTTGGATATAAAGGAAAAAAAACAAAAAGCCAGTTGCAGTTGAGTCAATTCCGACTCATGGCAAGCCCATGTGCGCACAGTAGAACTACACTCCGTAGGGTTTTCAAGGCTGTGAACTTTCAGAAGTAGATCTCCAGGCCTTTCTACTGAGGTGCCTCTGGGCAGGTTTCAATCACCAACCTCTCAGTTAGTAGTTGAGTGCTTAACCATTTGCACCACCCACGGACTCTGAAGAAAAAATAAAAAACCAAAGAAATAAAGAACAAACCCATGTTTTTCCCATGTAAGAAAAAGGATTAAAGCATCTGAAAGAAGAAATCAACACTGTTATCTTTAATGCATTTCCTTGCTAGAGACTGTCTGGCTTCAAAAGAAAATTCTAGATAAAACCTCTATGGGATCCTGAATGTAAATTAATCTGCATTTCCTCAGATGATGGGAAACAGAAACACAAGAAAGTTGACAAAGACCATTGTTTTTAAAAGATTACAGTGATTAGGGCCAAGGTCTAAATTTCACAACAGTTCATGTTTTTCTTCAGGTCGTATCATTCTGGCAAGGTGTGAGAGTGCCATCTAGTTTATAGGAAAGCTCCAGCCACTCCCTAGACAGGACTGTGGACGTGGTCTGGCCGTGCTGCTGCCCAGCTACCTCTTAGTCATAGTCTAATCTAGCCTGCCATCCCCCACACTGGGAGAATCATTAACTTGAGTCCAATAAAACCCTGCAGCTCCTTGCCCCGGAAGAAGCTGCATGAAGTTGCCAAACCAGCATCTGAGGTCCTATGGCCTGCCCTCCTGGTATTTTAATTGGGGCTCAGATCAGAAACTCCCTTTGGTTTTCTTTGTGCATCAATGCATATGGGCAGTCCCTTAGGCCTTTTACGTTCCCCAGTTCACATGTAACTTACTATCTCTTGAGGCACCGGTCAAGAGCCCTCAGGATGAGTTTTGTGCATCCTATATACCCAGAGGCGGAATATACCCAATAGGCAAGTTCACTATAGATTAGTAAGTAAACATAAATAAATCTGTGCTTACTTTGCTTGCTGGGTCATATGCCACTGTCGGGGATTGTAAAGTTGAAAAGAGGCTTTAATTCTCTAGGCAGGTGCTGTGGGTTTGGGAAAAAGACAGATGCCAGCCATACCTAGAAGAAGAATCTTTGATATGGTGAAAAAATGTGAAATTGTTCACTACAGATGATCTGGTAAGCAAGGTAAACACTGTGTTTACCTTGGATAATCCACCCCCGCATATATCCTTTACTTCAAATCATACTGTTTCAAACATATCCAAAAGCAGTTAAATTCTGCTCTGAGATATAGCTGAGCTGCTCTAAAGCCACTCACTGTCACTTTGAGGGCCTCCCTGGAGCCTCTAAAAGTGAATCTTCGGTATGCCACAAGACTACATTTTAAGTCAGACCTTCCAAAACTCCTTTTCCCTACTTGCTGAAAATGTTTAGCTATTTTCACATGATGTGTTAATACATGTCATTGTATTTACAGAGATTACTCCAAGAAGATTAAAGGTCATACTAACACATTTGGGTTTTGTAATTCTCAAGTGCCCCCAATCTCAGGAAAATTCCTGCAAAGCTGGAATGCTTCAATAGCCCAGCAAAACTTAAAATCAAAAGACTTACTAACAACTTTTTTTTTTCCTTAAGTGTATTGGGTTTATTTGAGCCTTATTAACAACTTCTAAGGAGCTTTCCGGGGGAAACACTGGGAGGAATTGAAGCATGTGTGCTTGGTGCGTGCACACACGGACACAGAGAGAAATGAGGATCTGTTTGACATTGCTTCTGTGCACTTACGACAATGGTTCAGAGATGCTTTGCTGAACATAGCCCTCTACACAATGAATGACAGATACCCTCAGAGGCCTCTGCAAGTAAGGAAGCCTGTGGTTTGTCTGGTGACAAGAACCCGTATCTTCTGAGGGAGCTTTTCTTGGGTGCCTGGCCAATGAGTCAGGAAGGTGAGATTGAGACAGGGTCACCAGTAACAGCGTTCAAGCTTTTTTAAAAAAGAGCAATTTTTTTTTTTTTTTTTTAAAAAAAACAACCTCTTTTGAGTATCCGCTTTGTGCCCTACACTTTTCGTATGTCATCTTGGTTGTCTCTAATTCTCAGTCCTTTGAGGTGGGTGTAAGTATTCTCAGTTTTACATACTGCTGAGTTCTCTTCCCTGCTTTATTTTTCTCCATACATTTTCACTTTCTAATATAGTGTATAATCATTGATTTTATTTATTGTCTCCCCTCAGCAGAATGTAAGTTCCAGAAGGGTCAGTATGCTTGCCTGTTTTATTCAAAGCTGCCTTCCTGGCACTTAGAAAGAAGGAAGGAAGGGAGAGAGGGAGAGAGGAAGAGAGGGAAAGGGAGAGCGAGAGGTAGGGAGGGAGGAAGGGAGGGAGGCAGGCCCAGAGAGGTTAAGTGACTTTTTCTGTCAGAATACCAGGCCCATGTACCACGCTGACACACTAGGTAAGTAATGGTGGCTATGAGGATTAGAATCTAAGGCATATTCTAAGGGAGAATGTGCATTTAGTGACTGGTAGACTAATAAAGAGGTGCAGGCAAAGAAAACCAACCCATGTAAAACGAGCAAGGAAATAAGCCTAACTTGATCCTCAACATCTGTGGGGAGAATACGTGAGGCTGGAAAAGCCTGATGGTTAGAAAAAAAAATGGAGACCTTGAAATCTTCCAAATTTAGGCAGAAAACAGCCCTGGGTGATGAGTGTGGTGTCCACAGTGCCCATAATCTGAGAATGACCTGGCTTCAAGTCCTGACTCCGATGTTTGCTATTATGTGATGGCAATCAAATTCCTTAATCTCTGTAAATAGGAATAATATAAATGGGTTGTTGAAGACTGCCTGATATTATATACACGTAAGCACATAAAGCAAGACCATGCCCAATACACATTATTTCTATTATATCAGTGTGGTGTGGCAGCAGCACACAGTATTTGAAAGAGGACCCTGGTGGCCCAGTGGTTAAGAGCCCAGCTGCTAACCAAAAGGTCAGCAGTTCGAAACCACCAGCTACTTGGAAACCCTACAGTGCAGTTCTACTCTGTTCTATAGGGTCACTATGAGTCAGAACGGACTCAATAGCAATGGGTTTGGTTTTTTTTGGTTTAGCTGGGAGAAGTTAGAAAGGTAGGTGGGTACATTCTTCTTCTTAACAGTGCTAAAGGATTTTAAGCCTGGTCTAGGGTTAAATCGTGCAAATGGTTAAGCTCAACTACTAACCATCAAGGTTGGTTGACTCCAACCCACCCAGAGGCACCTGGGAAGAGAGGCCTGGTGATCTGCTTCTGAAAGGTCACAGCCACGAAAACCCTACAAACACAATTCTACTCTGACACACATGGGGTCACTAGAAGTTGGAATCCACTCAATGGCTACTGGCTTTTTTTTTTTTTTTTAAGTTAGGGCAGCACCTGCTTTGCTTGACAGCTGAGTTGGAATAGATTAAACTGGTTAGGGCAGTTTGGGGGGCGGGGGGCTTTGCTGCAGATACTTAAGTTCCTGGCTGCCCTTAGGCAGACCTCAAAGGGCGTCTTTGGGATGGAAAAAAAAACGTCCTAAAGAATCCCGGCCATCTTGCCGGTTCCCAAATCAAAACAATAAAAATGATATGAATTGAGTTAAAGCGTACCTCCACCATATTAGGGCACTTCACTGTACTTCATTCAATTATCATCGCGACCCTACGAAGCTGCTTTCGTTATTATCCTCGTTACACTAACGCGGAAGACTGAGGCTTCCAACAGTTAGAAAAATTTCACCACGGTTACACATCTAAGAGAGGTGGGGGCAGAATTCAAACCCGGACAGCCTCACTCCCGATGTCCTTGATGCCATACGGTTAAATATACCACGAACAAACGACATTCCCGTAGCAATAGAGAAACATGGATAAAACTAAATGTTTCTTTCTTCAGGTTGGCGAAGTGCTGGGATTATCCCCCCAAATCTCTGCCGAGGCTCAAGCCTTTTTAAATTTGATGAGTAGAAACCAACTTCCCTCCCTGCCTCTTCTGATAGATTGAAAGATTGTGCCCATCTCAATTCCGATGCAAGGCATCCAGCTTCTGCCACCCCGCCCCCGGGTCCCCGAGACTAAAATGTCTTGAGGTGGGAACGTCCCTACAGGGTAGCGGGCGGATTGGGGGCGTCAAATCTAGCGCAGGCCTCCCCGAATTGGAACGGGCTGATTTCCAGACAAATCTGCAGAGCTGGGAGCTTCATTCCAAGAGCTTCCCAAAAAAGGCACGGTGAGAGGAGTACGGCAACCCCCACCTTCGCAGAACGTGCTCCTCCAGAAGACGTCTGCCTGCACCAGAGCTCCAAAATTGGCAGCCTAAGCCTCGCAGCCGCCTTTTTTAACCAACCTTCTCAGAAGCAGAGAAGAGGAGGATGATTAAAAATGCAAATTGCAGCGCGAGCTTCACGGGGCAGGCCCATTAGTGCGGGGCGTCGGGCGAGGGGAGACCCTGCGACCTCAGGCACACTTGGCTACCGCCCAGGTGGGTGCAGAGGCGAGGAGAGACGCTCCCCAAATCCTCTCTCCGCCAGCCTCTGCCCCCGCTTCCTCCTCCCAGGCGGCGGCGGGACAATGCGCGGCCTTTTTTCCGCCGGGGGTTAGGGAGGGGACTTGGCCGGATTAGGGCTCGCGCCTTCCGGCCGCAGCCCCCCCGCGCCAGGCTGCGCCGCGCCGGCCGCACACAGGTGGTTTTCCGCTCGCGAGGGACGAGCCAGGACACTTTTATATAACAATAGCACTCTGCGCGCCGGGAATACGCCTCTCAGCCGCCGCTGCCCCCGCCCGGCCACGCCTTCATCCGGCTTCCCGCCACGCCCCGCGGCGCCTCGGCCCGGCTACCAGCTCCCAAAGTTACCTGCATGCTTGGCAGAGCAGTAGAGACGATCCCCGTGACTCCCCGCCCACCTTGGGAGCCAGGGAACCCCAGCCGGCTCGCCTCTTCGACCCTCACCCCTTTCCTAAGCCGGCGCGGAAGGCGGCGCTCGGGTCTCGGCCCGGCACCCGTCCGCGAGGTCGCGCAATGCCCCGCGCCCGCCGAGCGGAGAGGTGGGACAGCAGGCGGTAGCAAGGAGTGCAGCGCGCAGGCGCGGCCGGTGTTCCGCGTGTACCCGGGGCTCCGCGTGTGCCCGGCGCTGGGCAGGGGAGGGGGCGGTGGCCGGCGCAGGGAAGAGGGGCCAGCCGAAATGGGGAACAAGGCCAGACAGGGTGAGGGGCTGCGGCCGGGCCCGTAGGGTGAGGGTCCCCTCCTACATGAGTTCTTGTTTATAGTAAGCAGTCGTCGAGCCCGCCAGCTGAGTCCCCGCAGCGTGCAACCCTTTCGGGAGGACTTCCCTCCCACCTTGCTCATGGCGGGGAAGGCCGGCCTGGCCCAGCGCGCCCTAACACACCTCGACCAGGCAGCCCCGCCAGACCGGCTCCTCGGTCGGAAGCCAAGCTTGCTGCCCATAAGTGATTAAGGAGCGCGACCCCCTAGCGTGCAGTGGGTGGCGAGAGTAGGGTAGTGACTTAGGTCCCCAGAACAATGGTTTCTAACGCCCCACGCCGCTGGAGCGGAATAAAAGATCAGGCTGCCCAAATAATTTGCTTCTGCAGCTTCCACTGTTTTTTTTTTTTTTTTAAATAAATTAAAACACTATTTAAAAAAAAAAACAAAACGATTCTGCTTGTTTGGAAAACCAGACATTTGTTTGCTTGCTTGAAAATGTTTCAACCAAGTCCTGATTTGTTTCGAAAAACGTCGGATTAGCATTTAACACTTCATCGGTCACTAAAGCCCAAGCAGTTCACCAGTCCCAACACAGCCTCGGCTAAAAGAACATCAAGCAAACAGAGCTGGGCTCTTTAAACAGGCAAATAAATGCCACACACTGCCTAAAGGAGGGCGGGGGTGTGTGTCAAGGCGAACTCGGGCCCAAATGAGTTTGAAGGGGATAAAAAGGGAGAAAGCATAAGTTTTTCTAAAGCTAACTCGCAAACATCGGCGTCCCGAACAAGAGCTTTTGTGTCGGCTAATTGTAATCATTTGTACGCAAAAGTTCCGAGGCGAAGTGTGAACTCTCAACAAAAGGAAACAGGAGACAACTGAAGTGCCCTGGTTTATGTGCCCTGCTCCTCCTCCGCCGCCGCCTCCTCTTCTTTCTCTTTCCTCCCGCGGAGCCCGCTGTTGCAGCTTGTTTGCACTGGGGCTTATCCGGAGCGGAAATTCCTTTCCGTTTTTGTGAATGACAAACTCATTAACAATTCATCAACACAACCTGTTCCAGCCGGCCCGTCCCCACGGCAACAGCCCCTTCCGCAGCGCGCTCATTGGCTGGCTCTGAGAATGTATCCATTGAGACGCTCGCTGTTTGTATCCATTGAGGAGCTGCCTCGCGCAAGGGTTGTGGGAAGGCTGAGACCAAAGGACAGTGAGCAAATCGAGGCTTGAATAATCCGAGGAGAAAGACGCCCGGGTGGATTTGAGGTGCAACCTCGGAGGGAGGGTTTAGGAGCCGCTGGACTTTTTTTCCCCTTCCCTTTCAGTAGCACGGAGTCCGAATTAATTGGATTTCATTCACTGGGGAGGAACAAAACTGTCTGGGCAGCTCCATTCAGAGAGATCCATTGACACGAAAAGAGGCTGCAGCCCCGAGCAGAGGGAACCGCCAGCTTCACTTCTGTCTTCCCTTCCCTAACCACTAAGCCCGGCTTGGGAAAAGCGAGGCGGAATCAAACCCTGCTCCGGGAGCGGCGGCTTTGCGCGGCGCGTTCGGCCTATGCCTGCCCCGAGGGGCGTCTGGTAGGCACCCCGCCTTCGCCCGCAGCTCAACCCCCATGATAGATACGCTCAGACCGGTGCCCTTCGCGTCGGAAATGGCGATCAGCAAGACGGTGGCGTGGGTCAATGAGCAGCTGGAGCTGGGCAACGAGCGGTTGCTTCTGATGGACTGCCGGGCGCAAGAGCTGTACGAGTCGTCTCACATCGAATCCGCCATCAACGTGGCCATCCCGGGCATCATGCTGCGGCGCCTGCAGAAGGGCAACCTGCCAGTGCGCGCGCTCTTCACGCGCGGCGAGGACCGGGACCGCTTTATCCGGCGCTGCGGCACCGACACCGTGGTGCTCTACGACGAGAGTAGCAGCGACTGGAACGAGAACACGGGTGGCGAGTCGGTGCTCGGGTTACTGCTTAAGAAGCTCAAGGACGAGGGCTGTAGGGCGTTCTACCTGGAAGGTACGCTCCTGGGGCTCCACGCACCAGGCTGGGCGGAGGGCGCGGGGCTGCAGGCTGCGGACCGCGGGCTGCGGGCCGGACGCGCGGACTGAAAATGCCCCTGCTGCGCTCGGCTGGCGCTTCGGGGTCATGCTACCTAGCCAGGGCTCGACCACCTGACCGCGGCCGTGCACCGCGTGCGTTCCGCATCCGCGAGCCTGTCCGGCGCAGAAGCCACCCGCTTCCGGCCCCTGGCACGGGCTGTTTCTTTCCAACGAGTTCTCTGGTTTCCTATCTGCAACATTCTTCTCCTTTTCCTGCTTTCTGTTGATCGATTTAGAGTTAAGATTTGCAGAAGAGGAGAGGTCGTTTGGGTGTAGATTGGCACCTTCTAGCCCCTTATAATACTTGGAAAAGTTGCCATTTTGTGCGTTTCCGGATTCAAAAGAATAAGGGATCCGAGGGGGAAGCCGGCGGCCCCTTCGTGCCGCTCTCGAGGGTGCACATTCAAGTGTGTTTCTTTCTTTTCTTTTTGGTTCTGTGTGTAGGGGGAGGGGTGGGGGGTTTGGAGGGTGCTCGTGGTGTTTCTTGAGCCTGGCTGCGGCTCTCACAAGCTGTGAAAACTACTACGAGATCTCGGGTTACGCTGTTGCTTTTCTCGTCCTGGCAGGTGGCTTCAGTAAGTTCCAAGCTGAGTTCGCCCTGCACTGCGAGACCAATCTAGACGGCTCGTGTAGCAGCAGCTCGCCGCCCTTGCCAGTGCTGGGACTCGGGGGTCTGCGGATCAGCTCTGACTCCTCCGACATTGAATCTGACCTTGACCGAGACCCCAATAGTGCCACGGACTCGGATGGCAGCCCGCTGTCCAACAGTCAGCCTTCCTTCCCGGTGGAGATCTTGCCCTTCCTCTACCTGGGCTGTGCCAAGGACTCCACCAACTTGGACGTGTTGGAGGAGTTCGGCATCAAGTATATCTTAAACGTCACCCCCAATTTGCCGAATCTCTTTGAGAACGCAGGAGAGTTTAAATACAAACAGATCCCCATCTCGGATCACTGGAGCCAAAACCTGTCCCAGTTTTTCCCTGAGGCCATTTCTTTCATAGGTGAGGCTAATTAATACTCGTTGCTTTGACTTTTAAATGCAGAACACCCAGCCATGCTTAGAGTTTAGGCTTTTCATCGTTCCTGCTATTTGCTAATTTGTTGGACTGGAGGTCTCTAAGGTTCAGATGGCGTTCTTAATACTGATTTATCTTCTTGCTGAGGAAAGTGCCTTATGACATGGTTACAGACCACGGGTGTAATTGAAGTGCTGTTTCTTGAACGTTTGAATTCAGTCATTTGAAAGAGGGAGGGGATAACGATGATAAGCAGACACGATTTTCCCACGTTTAAGAGCTAAGTAGAAATACTTTCTGTAGACAGTAATTCTAGCATTACTTTATAATTTAAAGAAGACCTGGGAGTTATTTTAGGACATCAGGTTAATTGTTGGAAAGCGATTGAATGTTAAATGTCGTCCAGATGAATGATACCGTGATACCGGTAACAGTGAGACAGTGCCTGTAACCTGAACCCAGCAGGAAGAACTGTGGGCTGGAAGCCTGGGAGAAGCGAATCTCCAGGCATTGTAATGCATTTCCTATTACAAAGGAACTCATTTTCAGGCCATGTCGACATCCTGTTCCTCCTAATGGGCTGTCCCCTGTGACTTCCCTCTCTCTTTTAAAATGCCTGAATACCTCCATTGTTAGTTGCACAACAGTTGGAAAATAATTTAATAGACCCTTGCAGTCTGCTTGTCTGTATAAAAGGCATTCACAACCATATTGCAGGGTTTCTGGTATTCACATTCTGGGGCAAAGAATGCACACATTAAGGAGTTTTTTGTTGGCAGAAACTTAATACAAAAGCTCCCTTTTCAGAAAATATCTGAAATATGTAATTGTGCCCCAGTGTACATGTTTTATCTCAATGATACATTTTCTGCTGCCTGCTGGGTTCAACTGCCATATGCAATATGTATATTTTTTCCTTTTTCTTTTTTGATTCATTGTTTAGACTGATCATTCAGAAAAGGTTTTGCTCTACTGAAATCTTGTCTTTCTGTGTGTTCACAGATGAAGCCCGGGGCAAAAACTGTGGTGTCTTGGTGCATTGCTTGGCTGGCATTAGCCGCTCGGTCACTGTGACTGTGGCTTACCTTATGCAGAAGCTCAATCTGTCAATGAACGACGCTTACGACATTGTCAAGATGAAGAAATCCAACATCTCCCCCAACTTCAATTTCATGGGCCAGTTGCTGGACTTTGAGAGGACACTGGGACTGAGCAGCCCCTGTGACAACCGGGTTCCGGGGCAGCAGCTGTATTTCACCACTCCTTCCAACCAGAATGTCTACCAGGTGGACTCCCTGCAATCCACGTGAAAGGGCCCCAGGACCCTCCTCACTGGGATGTGGCCGTTCCTTCAGCAGTTTCTCTTGGCAGCATCAGCTGGGCTGCTTTGTTTGTGTGTGGCCCCAAGTGTCAGAATGACACCAGCTGTCTGTATTAGACAAGGTTGCCAAGTACGGAATTGGTTATTATGAAAGGAGAGATTTGCTCCATTTCCTTTGGAAGAACAGGACACGCTGTATAGATACAGGCCATAGCTTTGCTCCGTACCCAGTGTACAGCCTACCCATGCAGGGAATGGAATTCGAGGACTTCCAGGTATATAGGGTAGGACCAAATGGTAGGGTAGGAGCATGTGTTCTTTAGGCCTTGTATGG